TTGTTTATATTCATAGAGCGATCTAATTAATTGTCACAATATATACTCACTCCCCCGACCCTACTAAACAATACGCCATTTTACGCAAAATCCGCGGGTCACGTGACCAGCCCATACCAGGGTATTTCGCTTCCCAAGAGCAAATACCCTGGGTACGAGGTTGGATTTAAATGAGTTAGTCATGTTAAATTTCAGTTCGTCTGCTAGGCTATTCGACACCCTGGTTGTTTGAATTACAAACAAGCGTTGATGGGTCGTTGTTTTGCTCCTGGGAATGACAAACTTAGGTATGTCCGTGTTTATAGACGATCTGGTCGGTCTGGCACTTCGAGTATTTGATACTACAGAAGGTTCTATTATTACCAGATTATTCACCATTTTAAAGAAAAAAACAAATCCAAAAACTCATGCCAGTAACATAGTGGAAGTAATGATAAAGACTGTAATCACGAGGTATAACTGTCTGGACTGGAAAACAGCGGATTGCGACTATCACTACTTGAAGAGGCCAAACCAACACGTCCGCAATATATCCAGTTGTTAGAACACATTAAAAGAGGTCAGTGTGTGAAGCCGTATCTTCAACTGCAAACAACTAACCATTTCCATTTCTAAATAATGCGCCATTTTAAATATCTTTTTTATTATGAATTTGGTCATCAGAAAATGCTCATAAAATTCAATTAATGGTTTTATTTCAGTCTATAATCAAATACAATTTCATCAATATAGATTTATCTATATCGGCGTTTCTCAAAATTACGCTATGCAGGCGAGTAAGAAGCTTGGAAAATTTGAAGTCTCTATAGATCGGTGGAAATGGCATTTTCAGAATCTTATCTATTTTTTCGTTAGGCCTTTTCATTAATTCTTTCATAATTTGTGAGTTTTCATCGTTTATTACGGGAACCACTGAGTATTTTAATAAAATACTGACAGTAAAACAACGGTAACTCCGAAAATAAACATTTTAATATTCTAGCTTTCGACTAAGATTCAGTCATCATCAGGAATAAACTGAATCTTAGTCGAAAGCTAGAATATTAAAATGTTAATAATGACTTAATGACTAAATGACTTAATGACTTATTATAATGACTATTATTATTAATTGCTGGATTAGAGCAATATTTTCAAATTTACATGATTTTTCTGTGTTAGTGTAATGTACTCAGGTGAATATGATGCTTGTAATGTTAATCTGAGTGTATATCCACACCTGGCAAGTGTATATCCACACCGGGCAATTTTCAAATTTAATTTGTTTCTGGAGAAGAGGTGCAAATCTGAAAAAATTGTCCCGGACGCCCTGTGCCTCTACGCCCCTCACGTTATAGAATACTAGTTCGGATACATATGTATTTTAGTGAAAAATAGAATTGATATTGTATGAGGGTAGGATTAAAATTTGGGTTAGGAATACATTCAAGAATTGGGATAGGCATTGCAAGACTGGTTGCAGTTGTCTTCAATAGTTGAGAAAAATAATAAATTGAAGAAAAGTACCTTCATAAGAGTGTGGCCATCAACAGTTTCTTTAATATACCCAGGTAGTTGGCTACTGTAGGCTCGTAACTGACGGTTAATCATTTGCGTAGATGCACAGTTACTGGAATAATTAAAATTTCCACCAAAGCCATAATCATTTGGACAATCTGAGAGCACAAATGTCCAACCCTTTGGCTCTTCTCCGTACTGGAACGTGAAACGCACTGGTTTTTCCGTGCCACGGAAGTCGATCCGCACTAACACTTGACTATCGCATGTTCTGCGGTCCTTTCCAGTGGTTGGTCCAGAGAGAATAGTTACAAAGGGACTGGAACCAGAAAAAATCCCTTTTTGAAGGTCAAAATTGATCACGTCATTACAGTGGCACTGGAAAACTACATTGAAAATAAAATAAACATTTAGTCATTTGCTGTAATATCGTAATACTCGACTAACTAACATCGTGTGGATCGGTTGTACGTAAACCAGAAGCGTTATCCACAAGATAATGATTTATTTAAACGTTGAAAAGTTCCTTAAAATTTAGAAAATTACAGATACCTAGCAATCACTAAAAATCTTTGATTAATACATATTAAAGATTAATGCGGGTTATACCAATCAACATGTAATTCTACAAAGGTTGAAAAGTTCCAGTGGATAACGCTATCCGTGTTTCCTACTACTCCAATATCCAAAATTTTGAATTAGAGATTGACATAATAACGATTACTCTATAACATCTCTGCTGAAGTAATGGTTCGCCTTATTGTTCCTTCCATGCACTTTTTGCAAAGAAACTAAAAACTATCTCTGCCATATCTATTTCATCTGAATGTTTCTATAAATCATGATGGTTACAAAGTTTTTATAAATCATTATAGTTATAAAACATAATGGATGGTTTTTTTACATTTTAGAGTCACATATTTTTCATGAAAGTGGAGCAAGATGAACTTTATTATATATAGTAGAGGGTGAGATACTGTAAAACACACAGTGAGATGTTTTCCATATCTTCACTAGTAATTAAAGATATCGATTACGTGACTTTTAATATTCATACAATTTTTTGCTTGGGACTATATAATAAACAGAACATTATACATGTTGGCTAATTGAAGATGACTTTTATCTTCTCGTGTTAAAAGCAATATTTTACTCACAATAAAAAGTCATATCTTCGAGCCACCGTGTATAATATCCTCTATATATATGTCTGCATCAAATTTCCTTGTTCCAGTTGTAATATATCTCACTTTCCTCCGTATCTGAATACCCTTGCATCTTAACGTGTGCAAACAAAATGGATGCCAGTTATCAATTTTTAGGCAATAATTTAATCCTTTCTTACCAATGGGAAAATGTGAGGAGAAAATGTTTTCCATCTCTCAAAGTACTTTATTTAATACTGTATAATGTGCTGCTAGAAAGTTTACTAGTTGTGGTTGGCCTTTCAAGAATGGCTTCCAGTTTTAAGCTCTTGGAATGGATATTTTAACACTGGCCTGAAAGCTAGAACTGGATAGTGTAGCTGCTATTTCGACAGTAATTGAACCGACTGGGGGCCGTGTTACCGCCACATACGTAGCGTTTTTAAAATATTAGCCGAACTCTTGATTCTGGTTATTGATGGGAAAGGACAAGTATTGACTAGATATAGAAATAGGTGATCAGTTGCCTTTTATTCCACTTCTAGTAAATTTGATAGTGAACACACAACTACTGATGTCACACAAGTATGACAAAAAATGCAAATATCGTCGTTTAATCTTTTTTTCCGCGTTTTATCCTTTTCTCCGCTTCCCTAATTCCGGATCCAAACCATCCGTATGACCGCGAATAGTCTAATTATCTGGCCCTAGAAGAGGTGTTCGATATCGTAATTAGATTGATAGAAAACCACTTTGGGCACTTAATTAACGATCGATTTGTAAGGATTAAGAAAAACTTCACATTTAAACATTCCAGCTTCAAAATTGGCTCGTCGGGTGCAAAACGATACTCCATCCAGTGCTAGTTTTCGCTCAGTTCATTTAAACAATGTCTGTTTGAGCTAATGTTTACTGTTGATCGGTAAGCCCGACATAAATTATCACCATAGCGGCATATAATGTACTCGAGGACATTTGGATTCAGTTTCTGAGATTTAGTAAACTCCTTAAATTGCCTCATGTTGAAAACAACCAGAAGTGATATATGGGGTTAATGCAATGTAAACTAAATGCCATCGTCCTGTGGTAAACTCTTGTCGTAAGCTGATTAACAGCACTCTTTGACACGACGTGATCACGCTGGTAAACAACCATTGCTAAATTATTTAAAAAACATCTCCCACAAAGCCGCCAAAAACATCTCCCACAACCCGTAAAGAGCCTGAAATTGATGTCGTTCAAAGAGTAAACTTCCTCTCAAGAAATTCTGCGCACTATGGGAATACTGGAAAATATCTTAAAAATCAATTTAATTTATTTTATTTTATAGGAAGTAACATTTCCAAAGATGCAAATACAGCAGGAATGGGTGTAGGGCGTTCCCCTACATGTTGCATGAGAATTGGTTACACAATGAATAATAAACCGCATCTGTTTTCTGGTTGCGTCCGTTGGAAAATCATTCGAGAAATATTTGCACGAGAAATATTCAACATTTATTAGAAGGTGATCAGTGGCGTAGCCAGCCCGATAAGTTAGTCCCACTATGCAAATTCAAAAATTATTATCGTTATTCATTTCTGTGGAAATTGTTTGCTTTCACAGTCAATGAACACGAACATATTTGCATAGCGGGACTAAATCTTCGGACTGGCGACCTACTGATTAAGGTATAGCATTTATAGAAAGATTTTGAAAACCGTTTTATGTTTCGAATAGCAGTTTATCTATTGCCAGATATTGCTGAGGTTGGTGGATAAACCAAGTGAGCATGTATATACACAATTTAAGATCTAACCAGGAACGATTGCGAAAAAGTAAAACACTAGGACCTGAAGCATGAATCAAACCTGCGGCGTTGCGATCCCGCGATGAGGCGCTCTAACCAACTGCGCAACATATTTGGAGTCAGTGAGAAATTTTTCATATGTCAACAAGCAAAATGTTCAACAAGAAAACGTTTAAAACAAAGACTTTAATAGAATTGTAGCTTATCTGATATTTTTTGAGAAATAACTTGTCGATCTATGTGACAGGCGGATCATCCGTGAAGACGCAATAATCTTTTTGACGCATATTCCGCCTTGATATAAAAACAAAAATGAACAAGCAAATTATCTTGATTGTGCGAGAATACGCAAACTACAGATAACACAGCACTTTTTTCCTGATAGCTTCTGGGCATAGAGAGATTATTTGTCAAGGCGAAATACAACTGTACGGTTTTTCTCTTTATAGGTTTGTTGTTGCTGTTGCTGTTGTTGCTGTTGCTGCTACTGTTGTTGCAGCTGTTGCTGTTGTTGTTGTTGCAGCTGTTGCTGTTGTTGTTGTTGTTGTTGCTGTTGCTGTTGCTGCTGCTACTGCTACTGTGGTTGCAGCTGTTGCTGTTGTTGCTGTTGCTGTTTCTGTTGCTGTTGTTATTGCTGCTGTTGCTGTTGCTGCTGCTGCTGTTGTTGCTGTTGTTGCGGTTGCTGTTGTTATTATACAACATGCACATATTTTATAAAAGAAGAAACTTTATTAGCTAACCTTTCATTTACTACAGTGCAAGTGTGTACTTGTAGAGCTTACCTTCAAATACGATTAGCGGTCTTCCTTTCATTTAAAAGGAATGTCACCCTTACGCGTTAACAAGTGACGGACACTCGAAAGGTGTTTAATACGTTGGTTTAATCTCATAACATCCACACGTGAATTTGTTTATTTAAAACAACTGAATACCTGCATACATAAGCCGTCTCAAAGATAAATGTTTAAATAAAGTCCGAAATTTAATGCAAATACTTTATCTCATTAGCCTAACCTACAGTATTATTGTTCAACTTTATAACTATACATTTGCGGAAAAACAGGTCAGATTGTCGCATATCAGCGTCTTTAATACGATCGGTTCACATACTATATAGTTTCAAATACCACGCATATCTAACAATAAACGCCAACAATCCCAATATAGAAGGTATTCAAAATGGTCCAAGAAAAATCGAGGGAATTTAATAAAAAAATAATTCCAGACTTTGGTAGTTTCCTTTTATATACATGACATCTTAACCTGTCGTAATTGCAATATGGCTAGAGGCAAGCATCTGTTCATTTTCAAAAACATTCACTCTATAAGAAATTAATGTACGACAATGTGTTGCACAGTTGATGTAACTTTCAATTAATGAGTCCATATATTTCGCATTAAATTATAAGATATTAATCTGCCAGACATAATTTTCTTTCTGTCTTATTTGCTGGGTCGATATCCTTATATGACTCGCAATAAATGCGCAATTGAAAAACGATTAAATCTTTCATATTTCTTCACCGACATACTGATAATAAATTGGCGCGGAACAGACGATTAAACTTTCAAATTTGCAGCTTCATTATCTTTGATATTTTGTCTTACACAGTTTCCAAACTGCTCTTCTGTGGCTCTTTGCGGCAGGCGGACAAAATCATCAGTATGTGCAGTTGACGAGGGGAAATTATGACAGAAAGTTCAACATTTCGACAGAAAACGTGAAAAATTCCGTAAAATCACACAAAAATAATAACGTTACAAGAATAGACGAACATCCGTGTTAAATTCTTAGCAATGAAAGTTTAGAATTCTCAGTACAACGCGTTTTGAAAACCTCCAAAATATTCCGCGAAAGAAAGTCCCATTTCAAAATTCCACATCATGATCAGAAATACTAATATAAGGAAAAATCAGTGGAAATCGAACAATTCAATAAGGCTAGTGAGAATTCTCTTCAAATTCCTCACTTCAAAATTCCATCTCATCTCCCCTGATTCATTTCCACTTCAAAAATGTAACCCGAGTTGTGCAGGGTTTCGACCGGAACCAGATGAATTTGGAACAATAGTAAAATTTTGTGCGAATTTAGTTGCATTTCAGATTCACATGCATGGAAAGCATGAAACCCGTTGACGAATTCCGAGCAATAACCGTACGAGTTCCCTTATCAAAAAAATTGAACCGAATGCATTTTTGCGCATGACTGAACGCAATAATATTAATACAACTCCAATCTGCAGTCTGAAGATATTAAATCATTCTACTCAATCGCCACTGAAGTCAGCCTACAAAAATATTATATGGACATGCTTTAAAACTGTTTTTGACGTTGAAAGGGAATTTGGAAAATAATTTGTTTTAAGTAGCTACCAGTTAAAACATGAGCATAAAACGACCCATCGTATGGGTTCATTGGCGAAGTAATTTTAAAAATAAACATTGTCCAAGCCGAGAAAATCAAAGCTAAAGTTTATGTAAATCAGGACAAATCTTTATCCGATTACGGATAAACATTGATTAAACATTCGTTTCTTTTGTATTTTCCTCATGAATTATTAATGAGTTTTTAAATGCTTTTAAATGTTCTTGTATCATAACTTGTTGTTCGTAGATGTGAATGCTTTAGTTATTATGTTGTACTGTTATAAAACATTATAATCAAAATCAGGTATGTGTACAATATATGTATATTTATACACGGCAGGTCGGGTAGAAATTTGACGAAGGGTCTTCGCTCGAAACGTCAAAATTTTGCTGATATTTTTCAGCAATAATTGTAACTCTCTCAGTTCAGTAAACACAAAGCTCTAGGAAGATGTTTTGTGACTGGTTGATTATGACAATGACAAAAGACGTAATTGGCTTACATAAACAAAAGGAATATTGTTCTTGCTTCGTCCTTTAGAAAATCCATTCAATGGATTATTCTTTTGTCATTGTCATAATCAACCAATCACAGAACATCTTCCTAGAGCTTCGTGCCGACCCTCTCAGTTCGCTGCGGACTTAATTTGTAACATGATCCCGCTGTCTGCACCGTCAATGGTACATGATTGTATAAGTTAATAATACAAATATAATCTTCTTGTCTCGTACAAACGTAAGCTTAATTCTATTCTAAAGTTTGAAGTTTTTTGAGAAATGTTCAGCCAATTAACCACATTTCTGTTTATTTAATCCCATGAGCGATATATACGATGCAAATCTATTGATATAAACGTTAATGAATAAGATGATTTTAATTTGACAGCTAACACATAAATATGAGTGCTTCACTGCGGTTTAAATTGTCAAAAATGTAATGTCAAATTCATTGCTACATTTATATATGATACGCTACAAGAATATTTAACCTTGGTAAATATCATTGCTGTTTGTTTTGTGATCTAAAATAAGATTTTCATTAGCTCAATAGCAGACTACGTTTCCTATACTATTGTTGTTAATTCATTCAAGATTGGAGGTTAAATCTTTCATCACGCAATTATATTAAATATGAGCCAAAATGTCAAGGTTGATAAATTGATGGGCAGACAAATTTAAAAGTAGATTCGTCACTGGTGCGCCGAACGATTATCGGTGAATAAAAACGTAATCATTGCCATAGATTTAATCGCTTTTAAATTGCGCACTTACAGCGACTTATCGAGAGTTACGATGTCGGCAAAATGAAGCACTTAACTTTAAAATCTATATAGCATGCAGATTATAACGTGAATATAAAAACATATTTAATTATCGGAAATGATTAAATTAACAGCAGCTTTAAGTCGTTTGGAAAAAATATCCTTTTCTATATTGTACGTCGATGAATGACGAATCAATAACAAAACACGCGATTTACCAAGATTTTTGCTGGTTTTACTGTAGGTTAGGGTAATTAGTTTATCATAAGTGAATGATTCTGCATTAAAATTTAAATATCCTATATGTACCATTGCATGATGGAATATTAGATGAACTTATATCGGCTTAGATGAGCTTATATCGCTCTTGGGGCAAACGCATAAATATCTTTAAACAAAAAGAATATTATCATTATTCTGTTTTTTATAGTGACATGAGCTCCAGTAAGTCTGCATATTTTCCACAGTTTCTCAATTATGTATATAAAAGGAAAGGGTCAATGTTTTGAAAAATGTTCATCGAATTCTATCCATTTTTTCTCTCATTAGTTTGAATACCAGAAATTTTGAACTTGTCGACGCTTTCCGTCAGATCTGGCAACAGTTGAAATTAGAACTTGAATATGCAAAATTGATCCAAACAGACGTCTTTCCTGCGCGAAATCGTTATAGACGAAGTCCAATAAGATTACCTTTTAATATAGAATTTAAACGTCTAAATCACTAGAACATTTATCTTCAGGATAGGAATATATGGTATTCAATGTGTTTTAGATAAACAAATTCACACGCGGATGTTATGAACTAAACCAACATGTTGAACACCTTTCGAGTGTCTGCCACTTGTTATAAAACGCCAATCATCCTGCTATAATTAGCGCATATAAGATAAACATCGCGCTCTAAATTAAAAAAAGGTGCAGACTGTTTTGAGTATATTCTTGTAAACTTGTTAGTTATTAATAAGCAGTCGGTTATGAACAGTAATATTAAGTTACAAATCTATACCAATGCATCAAGGTTATAATAGATTTATAGGGCTATGTCGCTGCCTTCAACTCGCGGCTAGGTATTAAATAAGACATTTCGGAGTCCAACGGCGCAAATAGCACGTTCAGTGTCGGGATAAGTTCCTATTGGACTCACGTAGCTGAGATTGATAATGAAGGAAACAATATGCATATAAATTAAAGTATTCAACAGGCAATTCCAGCTTTTAGTTTATGCGTGCAGGGGATGATGGGAAGTAAGGTATCATATTGCCGATTATGCTGAAAAATTTCAATAAAAACTGCCGAAACAACCGAAATATTTCAATATTTACAAGTATAAGCAGTAATAAGCTATCACTACGTGTTCACACGGCCACCATTTTTATTTTTTCAGTATAATCAGCAATATGATACCTTACTTCCCTTCATTCCCTGCACGCATAAACTAAAAGCTGGAATTGCCTACTGGATCGTTCATTCATCATTTGAATATTTTAAAAGTTGTCACATTTCAACTGACAATCTTTCCCGTCGCAGAACGCGTCATTTGGATGCGCAGTGGAGAATTGGAGGAAATTTCAAACAATTATTCGAAAGATTGAGTAAATTTGCTCACAATTAAATCTGAGTATGTTTATTCAGAATTTTGAGTCCCACATGCATGTTGGTCAAGTTTCTGACTCAAAATACTTGGGAATTTTTGTATAAAAATATTGACCTTTATTATTCTGTCATCTCAAGTGCCAAGCGGAAAAAAAAGTAAAATTGCATTGTCTAGTGTCTTTTGGAAAAGTTATCAAAGAAAATTAAAGCGACTTGTGAATAAGCTAAAGTATAAATAGTAAGCTAATTTTCCAGAACATTATTTGCAAATAACGTAATTTACATTCCGGCGATACGAGAAGAATAAACAACAATAATGATTTGATTAAATCTACTAGAACAAGGAACCACACACAAATTAAAATCACGTCAGCGACAGAACTGATGTTTTTAGGCTCTGTCTAGCATTGAATTTCTTCTCAAATGGATTGCAATTGTATGTATATTCGAAGTACAAAATTGATTCGAAATCATAAAGATATTATTGAATATTGCTAAAAAGGTCGATGTGACGATGTCTGCAAACAATGTACCATATGTTGACACATGCGCAATACTATATAGGCAATGTGTTTTACATTTATTATATTGTTATAATCGGTCACGAATCTTAAATGATTCTTTAAATCAGACTACTTTTTAAGAGCATGCGTCACAGGAGTGAATCATCCCGCATCAAAGCTCAAATAGATAAATAAATAAAACATAGAAGAAAGAGCTGATTATATGTAGAAATATCCCTTGTTCAGTTACATTCTGCAGCATGGAAAGTCGGTGCGCGCGCACGTTTACCGCTAGGTTTTTTAGTATACTGTGCGATAAATTTAGATTTAATTAGCCCTATGACTTTGAAAGCTTTACACATGCAGCGTCTCCCTTCAACTGAGAATATTCAAAGTAACCGCGAGCAGCCCAAATACGAATAATTTAACGAATTTTAGTAACTTTATCGATATGATCCTTATACTCGCATACTGGATCTAAAGGTCGATTTCTACTGCACAACTTTTGCCTAAACTGGCGCATGCAACCTGCTCACAACTTGCCTTGTACTGTGTAAATCAAGCATGCAACTAGGCTTAGTAGGCTACCTTTTCGTAGACGTTGTAAACAGGTTGCATGCGAAAGGCAAAAGTTGTGCAGTTTAAATCGGCCCTTAAACTAGCCTGCATCGATACCATTCCATAGTCTGTCAAGATATGATGGTCTGGAAGCCCGGCAAACTTCAAAGCTACAAAATAGAACTGAGATCTTTGTTTGATGTTGAACTGTACCTCACCATGCACAATTCTTTTGTTTCAACTCATTAAATATTATTCATTGTGGTTGCACGTTTCATCGCAGCTATCCCTATTGGACGGTTACTTAATACGAAAATACAATGTCTGTCAATGAGCTCAATGACCGTGACTGTACACAAATTAACGTAAACTCAGACATAATACATAATAAAACATAATACAATAACTTTGTTTAGTTTCCAGACCATCATATCTTGATATACTATGATCCATACATAAGCCCCAAGTTGGTGGTCAGTTTTAAATTGAATGTAAAGTATACAAATGCTGTATAGGATTCATCGATCACACTAACCTTGCGAAATAATGCAAATCAACGAGACCATGAACTCCGCAGTTTTCCTCATAATGGCTGCAGATATGACAGCATTAACGATGTACCTTTCTGTAAGGCAGATGCACTTTTGACTGAAGCACTACTGAGCAATACCTTTTAATAAAGCCAGATGCGGCGCAATGTCAACCGTACCAGAGTGAAAAGCTGTTTGATGAAGTTAACTGACAATACTAATTACAACAATGATTGTTCGCCAATGAGGGAAGGATGTGAAGTGGTAATGACAGACTGGCGGAACACACCAAAGGGTGATAATTGGCTTAATTTTCTGTTAAGCATGCTTCAATGCATTTATTTTATACGTTACCAATGGTAGGGCCGTGCATTGTTAATTAAACACTGGAGGTCATTTTTGAACAATGATCGCCTTATTTGAATTTTTAGCGGGTCATTAACCTGCGCGGACCTGTGATTCCGATGAAATGCCGCAGCAATTTGAAATTCAGTGTCAGTGGTTCTAGTATGTAGTAAAAGGGATTATAATATTTTTTTAAATTTGGACATCCTGTTTGATACTACAGAATGTTCACGAGTTATTTCTATATCCAGTGCCGTAGGAAGCGCTTTTTGATTGGGGAGGCTGAAAATGAGGGCCGAATGCCCGAGTCGAACGCCGCAGACGCGAGACTCCATAGGGCAAATTTTTAAATTTAAAGGTCCGCTGAAATGCCATTTCCTGAACTTTGGGCAAGATTTGACATAATTTTGATGGTTAGAAAACAGCGTTTATAACATGTCGAAATTTACAATTTCTTTAGAATTGAGTAGTACTTAATGGGCGAAGGAGTATTTAATTAACTAGTGTTGGATAAGTTACAGGAAAATATGGGTATTATCTTCATTCTTTGCCGGTTTGTCATGGATATTGTAGCCGCTTAAAATTAATCAATTATCATTATTTTAAAGATATATTATTTAAATGCCATAACGGCCTGCATGATTTTGAAAAAAGAATGATTATTAGCAAATTATTGGGGGATCCCCCCCCCCCGGTTGCTACGACCCTGATATAGATACATCTTTTGGATCCAACCAAATATCGGGTTGGCCGTTTGGTTAGGTTGAAAATAAATGTAAATTTGCGTTTCGAAAATTGCATTTACGAGAAGCTCTTCAATTCCTACCCGAGCCGGAGGGTTAGTATAACTCTAACGTAGGCATAGCTATACGTTGCATTTTTCGTAACCATCCCTGCCCGGCTGGTTAGGTGTACAATATTTAATAAGTCCTTTCAAAATAACACAACAAAGATTTACTCTTAAAAAACTCATTAATAATTCACGAGGAAAATACAAAATAAATTAATGTTTCATCAATGTTTGTAAATCGGATAAAGATGCCGCAGCAATTTGAAATTCAGTGTCAGTGGTTCTAGTATGTAGTAGAAGGGATTATAATATTTTTTTAATTTTGGACATCCTGTTTGATACTACAGAAAGTTCACGAGTTATTATTACTTCGCCAATGTAGTCATAAGATGGGTCGCTTTTTAAGCACGATAAAACATTCGCATCCGATCTTTATCTGATATACAAACCCTCACCTTCGGCTGGAGTTTGTATCTCAGATAAAGATCGGCTGCTCATGTTTTAAATTATAGTACATATAACGTACATATACCATACGGTGAAATGCCCAGTGCAACTGCATGGCCTCAGCTGGCTCAGTCAGAGCCACTGATCTGAAACTCGGGATATAGTATCCTTTTGAATAGACGTCAAACGCTGGAGAACCAATTTATGCGATCTCCCATAGGACAATGCAAGTCGTTGGCGAGCCAATAAATCACATCACAAACATCTGATTTGCATTGTGAATTACAATAGGAATAAGACATCGCATTAAGCGTTTTTCCGCGTTTGACGTCATTATAAAAATGTCTATTCAACTTTAGTATATAATTAGATTTCAGTATTGATAGCAATATAGTATGATAGCAATACTGTTCTGAGCAAAAAAATTACTGAAAATCAGTAAATTATTTATGCAAATTACGTTCATAAAATAAACACGTGTATTAGTTGTATTTATAAATAAAACTTTTTAATACTGAAATTATACTAAAACAATTAGTCGATCACCTCAGGTTCGGTGATCACAAGCCTATATTTACTTCGCCTTCGGCTCAGTAATATAGGCTGGTAATCCGACTTCGCCTTCGGCGACTAATTGTTAAATAGCTTGTTTTGAAACCAGAATACTTATCATGAGATGAGATAAGATTGTAAAAGTCTGTCAAAATTTCTGCTAATGTCATTTTTATTAGTCAATTTACTCGTTTCTGATTGCATGGGTAAACCGTGCGGACTAAATATTGATCGCACAGCTCAGTGCACCGTTTTATGTACTAGTTAAAACATGAGCAGCCCATCTTTATCTGATATACAAACTCGAGCCGAAGGTGAGAGTTTGTATATCAGATAAAGATCGGATGCGATGTTTTAACGTGCTTAAAAAACGACCCATCTTATGAGTTTATTGGCGAAGTAATTTTAAAAATAAACATTGTCTAAGCCGAGAAAATCAATGCTGAAGTTTATGTAAATCAGCACAAATCTTTATCCGATTTACCAACTTATAGATTAAACATTCATTTCTTGGAACGAGATTAATTTCAAGATTAATTGGAACGAGTACGAGCCCGCGTGCCTTAAAGATGAGCCTCATTTGCAATGAGCTCTTTAAGTATGTTAATTTAAATTAAATAATGAAGAAAAAGAAGAAATGAAGAGTTACATGTGTCGGAATTGAAAATTAATGTCAGTGACTACTCTAAACATCGGCAATTATATGCGCGTATGGCTGCATGCATGTGTTGCCTGGATACAGTGATACGATGCATGTTACTTGCAATTGATATTAAATAGGAAATTACAAGTTGAAATGTTGTGTAGCTGATGAAAATTATCGAGTGTAAATTTAAATACATTTATTAGATCTAACCAGGAACAGCTGCGAAAAATCTTGATATTTACCGATATAACATGACATGGATGTAATGTATAAGTACCCAAGTCTATATATGCATGAACTTGCTGTTAGAGCTCGACAATTGCATGGACTCAGCTGTAGCGCAGTTGGTTAGAGCGCTGCACCGCGCGCAATCGCAGGGCCGCATTTGAAAATCTGCCAGGGACCTACGTACAGTTGCATTTGTCGCAGCTGCCATTTGCTGCGTCCCGATATAGGCCGTCGTCTAGTGTCCCAAAAGATGGCTAGGAAACGATTTTCCGGTTGCACACCTCTTTAAACTAAAAGAAAATTACATATTCTTATAGATTAAGTGACGCTGAATCCAAATCTAAAAAGTTCTTTCCGGTTCACCCTGCAGTTTTTTTGTAAATTGCGATCAAAATCTTAAAATTTACGAGTTTCGCAATAGCATTTTTACTATATGCCATACGTCAAAATGCGTACTCTCGGAACCAGTCACTCGCGCGCCATAGTGAAAATTATACAGGATAGGTCACTTCCGCCTCCTCTTGAGATATGTGAAATCAGATTTGAGGTAAACAATGAGCAACACGATTTTCAAGTTTCATATATTATTGCGACAAGGCGTATTTTCTGGCTTTGTACGAAGATATTTAGCACCACAAGGCATTCTTTCATGATTATGAACTTGTGTGCACACTATATCATCTTTATGGCGTGTAATAAAGGACGAAACAAACTTCAATTATACATTTTGAAGACAGAGTAATGGACAAAATTTGTAGTAATTGATATATAATTTTTTTGTATGGTAAGCCAAAAACTATCAAATACTTAATAGTAAATATATAAAATACATATTTAAACAATACTATAATTAATACCAATATAGTAATTAATACCACATTAGGTTTCATCATCATCACAATACACTGCCTTCATCTATAAAGTTATTGTCAATTAGATCTATCTCACAATTGGCCAATTGCTGCATTTGCAAAGTTTAGTGCACTTTAAAATTGCTTTAAAAATTAAAATGAGCATTTTGTTTGACAACCCTTTTTGCATTTGTAGCTAACAAATTACTGACCAACTTGGCCTATACCATCTCGGCCCAATAGTTAACTACTGTTTGACATATTAGGGAACTAAGGAAGCTTATTAATATTTTACAAAAGGCAGCACCAAACCGATACAGCCATTTGCAGTTGCATTGGGTATACAGATGAGTTTGATTGCAATTGGCTCTGAACAATTTCTAAATCAATATCGCAAGAGAACATCCAGTTCAAATCTCTCTCAAACTTTGCAAAGATAGAACGTAGTCATGGTTTCTAACTTGTTTAATGGTTAGATTAGTCAGTTTAGGAGCAGGACGAGTTAACTTTGTCCTTGAATGGTGGGCCGAGTTGGTTAGTGGGCCGAGTGACTGTAAAGCATTCTAAGATGCTGTGTGGAGCAGGGCCTCGTGTCCCCCATGGGCATTACTGATCGATGTGGTATTTTCCTGGCCATAAAGATATCACTCCAGGAGGGTGGTGACACTCTCGGGAAGGTGTAAATTATCTCTAAGTGCCTTGAATGCATATTTGAAGAATTTGTGGTGCTTAAGTGCTTAATCTTGCTACATACTTTAAGTGCTGTTGTCTTGCCTTTACTGCAATGTTGAGATATTCCAACTAAATGTTCAATATGACAGAAGAGGTTTGTGACATGCCTTTTCTAAGGGCCAGAAGAGCAATTATGTGTTAGGTGGCAGTTATGTGACCTTATACATACAGTAACTGCTGCTGTATGTAGTGGAAACTTATAATTTTAGCCTGCGAACAGGCTCACTGGGAGAAAGGTGAGCCTGCACGGAACCATGCGTTTTATTCAATCATCCCCTTTTCGCATCTGCTAAACGCTAACCAATCAGCGTCGACTGCGATAAATAAACTGTCAACTGTCAAATTGACGCAAGGCGTGTACATAATGTATATATGAACAATAATACAAAGCATTAGCGGGCCGCACAAAATATTACTCGGAAAAATATAGAATTCTTCAAATATTAAATAGATATCAATACACATA